GTTAACAAGAAGCCTGACCTAATGGGCCAATCAGTTTATAACCTTATGGAGTCCTGTGTGTAATTTTTCTTTGTTGCTTGCCGGCTGTTGGGGTACTGGGAAGGACAGAAACCCCAACAAGCCAGCCCTCATGTTACAACCCTGCTTCCCCATTTCATAGACAGCCCCTCCATCCACACCAAGGTAAGCTTAGCTTAGGCAACCTGATTGCTGAACTCCATAATTCATGGAGCATGTCACAAGGTCCCTGCCCACAAGGGACACGGGCCTCAGCCTGGTTAAGGCTGCAGACACATAAACCCACATGGAAAAGACTGGAGAGAGTTGTGTAGAGAAATGCCCTGGAGCATGAAGGCATAAGTCACAAACAATCTCACACCAGTTTTGATTTATGATTGATAGAATGGTTATTTATTCAAAGGGGAAAAAACTTACAGATTACCGTCCCAAACAACAGCCCCACTGCATGATCAGCAAAGGAGTCTAGGAGCCGGAAGCAGAGCTGGAAGCCATAGAGAGAGTAGAGGACAGTCACTGCTTTTTAAAGAGAGAGAGATCACGCCCCAGTGAGCTGGTATCTCAGTGGCTATTGGCTGAAGGAGTGGAAGGAGCTCCCGCAGCATCTCCCCCTTTTGTTTAAGTAAGAGAGTTCTAAGCCTACTATGAAATTATATACAATAAGTACAAACCTACGAAATTATATACAATAAATACAAATATCCTATTCTAACTAGCTTAAGTCTTGTATAACAACTTGGCCAAGTCATGAGAGGAAAGTAACTACATTTATATAATCTTCAACCCCATCAAAAATCTGAGAAGGGAAATAATGTTACCTGGGTAATTAGGAAGTGTAATCAAACAACTTCCAGAACATGTAACAAATCACAGAGACAACTGGCTACGTGGGCAAACACCCAAAGTCACATTTGCAGTGTTGAAGCAAGCAACTTTGGCTAAGGCCTAACGTAACTGACATACCATTTTCAAAGGAAAGAAACTTTTCAAAACTATCTTACCCTGTCTTGGCAGGATATGACAGTCCTGTTTTATCCATTTACAGATACTCTGTAACTCTGTCAGTAGTTGAGGTATGGGCATTTCTTTACCCAAAGGCCAGTTCTGCCAAGAAGAAAGGCTCCAGGTAGAGTGTCTTTGGTGCTCAACATTCTCTCTGGAATAGATCAGTGTTTCCAGGAGCGATTATGTCTCACTACCACAGAACTCTGACTTAGATTAAAGGACATTTTCTACAGCTATTTGAAGAGGTTGAAGATTATCTATCTATACTGAATATAATCTCTATGTAACTAAAGAACCTGATTAGTCTAATTATAAATGACAAACTTAGATGACTATTGATCTATATAATTCTCAATACCTATCTAACTTAAAGACAGAGACAATAAACAACTGTGCAATAAATGAGGACAATATGGCCTCCAAATATAAACAATGTACAAGTATACATTGCAATATGGTAAATATATATCAATACATAAACAATATATAAGTATTTTAATCAGAGGTAGAAATGTACAATGCAATATGGTAAATATACATATACCAATACAATATATATATATATATATATCAATACATTAAAATGTTTTAAACAGAGGTAGAAGCATGCATGCATACAATAGTCAACATAATTTAACTTTGTATCAATATATAAGAATCGATACCAATATATTTGTCTAAAAACAATAACTCACAAGTACAAATCTATTATCCCATAATCCAATTATCCCTCTTTTTTTAAAGATTCCTGTGCTTATAAAATTCCTCCCCAACCCTCAACCATATACTGTAACATGAGTGGGGCATGCTAGTTTATGTTTTTCTGTCCTGCCCAGTGCCCCCAGTTGTTTAGCCCCAAAGAAAATAGCACAGAGGACTCCGTAAGTTATATAGCTGATTGGCCCGTTATGTCAGGCTCTTACTGGCTAACTCTCACATTTTGATTAACCCATTTTTCTGATCTATTTTAGTCATGTGACTCAGTACCTTTTTCAGTGGGGCAGCTCACATCCTGCTGCTTCGGTGATCTGGACAGGAGTGGGAGGAATCAACTTCTTCCTCCCCAGAATTCTCCAGCTCTCCTTGCATCATTTCCACTTCCTGTCTGGTTTTCCCACCTACACCTTCTGAGAGAAGAGAGAGAGAGAGAGAGAGAGAGAGAGAGAGAGAGAGAGAGAGAGAGAGAGAGAATGCTTCTGTGAATATGTAGAGGTCAGGAGACTGGAGCTGGTCCCTCCTTCCACCTTTACACAGCTCTAAAGATCAAACTCACCTGCCAGGATGGTGCAACAAGTGCCTTTGCCCCACTGAGCCATCTCCTTGGCCCTTTCACACAATCTTTAACAGTTGTTGTCAGTTATGGTGCTGTGGAGACATGGAAACAGAAGGAAGGGGAACAGGAGGGAAGGAGAGAGAAACAAAGAAGGGGGGAAGAGAAACAGAGGCAGAAGGAAAGGAGGGGGTGGGGAAGGAAGACCTTGCGACTGGGAGGGAGTGAACAGGTAGGGAGGCTTTGTCCTGTGGTTGTGGGGGTCTGTCTGGAAGTCTGAATTACAGCCAACTGGAAACTCTACAGCCCCCACAGACAGAACTACCAGCACACAGATGGATATGTTAAACATGCACACATGCACACACATGCACTCGCACAAATGTTTGGCCTGAGGAGGATACTATAGTGTGTAGCTCCTCAGGACTGTGTAGCTCCTCAGGACCATGTACCCAGCCCCAGCAGGGATGCTGAAGACCCTGGGTCTTCAGGGAATGGGACACACACACACACACACACACACACACACAGTGGTGTGCCCAGGAGACCTCCCTTGAACAGGTCTTGTGCAAACTTGTTGCTTTGAGTCAATGCCTTCATAGCTCTTGTTCTGGACCTTGTGGTCCCAGGCAAGACAGAGGGGCTTTGTCTGGTGCTATGGGGAAAATGGATGGGGCGGAGAATGGCAGAGGGAAACATTCCCTAAAGTCCTTTGGGGTCACCGCTCAGGTCAGAGGCTCAGTTTCTCCAGCAAAGCTTGATGATTAGAGTTCCACAGTGGCATTAAAACGGGGGTGGGTGTGTGGAGACAACAGCCAAGCTAAAGTCACAGGGTCTGCTAGCTCTCTTATGCCCTTAGCAAGTTTTTATTGACAGTCCAGTGGGTGCCAGGGGCTGGTGGGGCCAGAGGTGGTAATCACAAAATTATGAACCCAAAGAAGATGCCACCCAATGCCTGAGAACTCGGTCTCTATGCTGCAAAAGGCACTCTGAAGATGGGACACATTGAGGACCAGGAGAGGGAGGTCAACTGGATTACTGGGAGAAGAGACAAAGCCATCACGGGATCCGGTGGGAGGCAGGTCGGGAGGTCAGAGTGTGGGATGCAAGGGTAGGGGATGTGAAGGGCAACACAGGTGGTTCCGGATGCTGGAAGGCAAGCAGGCTTCCCACGGGAGCCTCCAAGAGGAGGCACACTAGCCGAACCTTCAGTTTAGGGCCTGGCTCCCTCCCCATCTTCAAGTGAGTTCATCTGCGATGACCAGCAAGCCCTCTAGCACAAATAGCAAGTAATACAGAGATACCCACACTTCCCAAGAGGAGGGAAGCTAGGCCCCATCTCACCAACGGCAGAGACACCCAGGGCAGGGCCTCCTAAGGTCTCAGCACAAACTGGCCAGTCCCTGAATATCTTCCAGTGCTGGAAACACACCTGGAATTTCAAAACCAAATGAAAAAGTGACTTCAGTTGTGAACCTAAGCACATAAACCTCTAGCCAAGAATCAGGAGACAGGTATATAAGGGACTGACCACTGGGATGTCCAGGACACGCAGGGAAACTGGTGGCTCCTAGACACAGAACATCAATGAAGGGCTCTATCCAAGTGATTCCTCCTTGCCTCCTAGGTGTACCTCAAACCTGAGAAACACTTGCAAATTGGACTATTTCCCGGCATGCATATCTTAGACTCTTGGCTGTCTATAGCACAGGGATCCTCACCCACCCTACCACATGGCTCCCTGTAACCCCGCCATAAGCCCTGACTTGATTTTTTTGGGCATAGGCCTCTTCTGTGAAAGACCTTCTCTTGCTCACTAAAAGAGCTCAGCATAGGCAGGAGCCCCATCCAGAAGGAAGGCAGAAGCCAGGCAGGGAACTGGACCCTGTTTTCACTTGGTTCTGGGAAATGGTCAGCCAGAGATCATTGAGAGGCTGCTGCCAAGTGACAAAACCCGGAAGCCACAAAGACACAAGAACAGCAAGGAGCCATTAGGGCAAAAGGGAACACCCACGACAACTTCAGTGTCCTAATGCTTCTCCTCTGGGCACCAGGAGCCATGGTTATTTCTGAGAGGGATTATTAGTCATGTGACTTGTCCTCACAGGGAAGAAACATCACCGTTCTGGATCTAGGTATTTTGGTTACCTGGGGTTCAACAGCACTGACCCTGTCCCCGTTTCCCAGATGAGGAAAATGAGATAGAGCGATGTCAAGTCTACACTCAGGAGCAGCACAGCTGTGATGGGGGAGACCAGCTTCTCCCAGCAATACCCCAAGTCACAAGGCACTTGGGGGGAGTCACAGCCAGGCTCGAGGCTTCATTCGGTCCTCTGGAGAACCTGAGACCAAACCGAAAATGTGCTAACTGCACTGGTGCCACCTTCTGCACTAATATCATCTGCAAAGGGCTCCCACTCGCCAGGTCCCCTGAGGAGTGAACTCTGCGGACAGACACAGAACAGGTGTTTTGCTAGGCTGGGGGAAGCTGCAGTGGGAAGTGGGCACTTGACAGGTGCAGGGTTTCAGATAGGGAAGAAAACAGTCTGAAGACAGAGGTTTGAGACTGGAAACGCGGAAGCCCGATGTCTTGCATTGGATCCCCAGGGACCCACTCAGCATACCGGAGGTGCTGACTCCTCATGTTGACCTGACCTCCAAATGAAAGCTATATAAGCCCGGATACTCACACATTCCAATTTATAGTCTCTCTCAAATTTTTTTTTAATTAGAGGAAGGATGTAATTGGGGCTAGACAGATGTCTCAGGGTTTAAAAGCAGTGGCTGTTCTTGCAGAGGACTTGGATTCTGTTCCCAGCACCAACACAGTGGCTCACAGCCTTCTATAATGCCACACTTCTAGGGGAATCTACACCTCTGTCTGGCCTTGTGAGCACCAGGCACACATGTGGTGCACATATATACATGCAGGCAAGACATCATCCATACACATAAAATAAAATTTTAATAGATGTGAGCATTCTTAATGACACTAAGATGTATTCATTAAATGGTTAAGATTATGATTTAAGTGTATTTAACAAAATTTAAAAAATTTTAAAGCCTGATTATAATTGAGGGGTATCACTAGACTATGTGTATAGGGTCCACACATCTCCAAATCTGCCTGCCTCAGTTTCTCTCCACCATCATCCCCATGCCTGTCATAGTGAATGTCTTAAAATGCAGCTACATCACCTCACTTGCCTGCAGCTGCTAATAACACCTGGAATAAAATCTATACCTGAAACCCCATCTACGGTACTTCACAGTCTGTGCCCACGGCCCTCCGTCATCGCCATAGTGACACCTCAGTCATCTTGCCGTCACTCAATCCACCTCAGGGACTTGGTATATGTCCTGATTTTTTTTACCTGGACTGCTGTGTTTCTCATCATCCACTGAATGCTCCCTCCCCACCCAGGTCTCAGCTACCTGCACCTCACTGAGGACCCTCCGACCATACCTGTCCTGCACTAGGGTGCTTCCATGCTAAGCATCTTCCTGGGGTCTCCATGCTGAGCACCCCTCTAAATCCCCACATCCCTGATTTTGCTCCTTGTTCAGGAGTGGCCACAGTCTCACTTATTTCCACTGTCTGTTTCTGAGAGTCCTTAGAACAAGACCTTCCAGGTTGTATTCTACAAGTACTATGTGCACTGATACTTCTAGAACATTCCCTGAAATGTCTGGATAAACCAGTGTGGATGAAGGGGGAGGGCAGAGAATGGGAGCCTGCTGGTTCGTCCACTCCAGCACTAACATAGGCACGAAGAACACCCAGAGATGGCATTCCACCCAGCCATGCTTTCATAGCTGTTTGTTTTGGTTTTGTCACAGCCGTTTGAGTAGGACAGTGCTTGCTTCCTGGTGGCAGGCTGTAACAAAACATTCTTTACCCACACAGTGGTTTGTTTGTCCTGGCTTAGGCTGTTAAAGGTCCTGTGATTTTTAAGTTAAGAGCCCAGACCTCCTTTCTTGTAGTGCATTGTGATATTCGGACCCAGGGTGGAGTGGGGACTCACAAGGCTCAGCCCTTACAGGAGCAGTCCAGAAAGGCACAGCAGCAAGAAACACACCAAAACAAGGAACCACAGCCTAAGGGAGACCTATCTTCATTCAGGGACAAGGCAAACACACACCTGCAGAAACAGCTTTTGGTACTGATGGGCTAGAAGCATGACCCATGCTCCTTACTGCTAGCCCTGATGTTAACTTCCTCCAAGGCTGAGCCCAGAGGCCTGTGTGGCTTAAGTGCTCTGGGTTGGGTTTGTGGGTCAAGCCTGCAACTTACCTTGCCTTCAGGACACAAACCCACATGCCTATCACCGTGGTATCACTGAAATGAAGGACGGGCCAATCACGCAATGAAAACAAGCCAGGGACAAATACCAGTCAACAGGGAAGATCTAGATAACAGGGTATAAGAAGGTAGGAAACCACCACTTTTACACAAGATAAAACAAGATCCCATTTGCTCATGAGCCCGGAGAACTCACCCTGGGTATTATCTGCCACGTAGATACTGGTTCTGTCTATGCCACTGACTTTAAATAAACTCCATTCTAGAGCAGCTTTAGATTTGCTTAAAATGTCTGAAGAGAGAGGTCATGAACACCACACACCTGCCCTCCCCATTAACCACATCACACATTAGTGTGGGACAACTCTTGTCATTTGTGGGCCATTTCAATGCCTACTAGCCACAGTATACACTGCCCGCAGGTTCGCTTTACATCTTTACTCATTGTTTTCCTGT